TGTGTGCAAGACCTGCACAAACTTTTTGTTTATAATTTAGATAGAAAAGCAGTTCACAAATCGTAATGAACAAGGTCTGAATAAACACAGCAGAGACTTATGTGCAGAGCATAAAATGCAGAGTTATACAAAACTAATGGCAGGGGTTTTTGTTTGCCCCTATCAGAATTTTGTTAGGAAGATCATTCCCATTCCAGACAACTGATAGTATTTGAGACCTTCTGTACAGACACTTCAACAACTATGTCAGCAGTTTACTCTTTGGCAGCCTCAGGTGCACTCACAGAGAAAGAGAGACCTAGAGGAAGAGAGACATCCATTTTTAGAAGAGCAGAGCCAAATGCAGTTCCCCTCACAACGACAATTCATGAGAGGCACAGGGTTGTGGGTAGGTTTTTTTGTGTATGAGTTTGTGTTTTAGCAAGAACAAGAGAAAAAAGTCAACTGAAATTTGTTCAACGAAATGCAATACACAGAACTTGGTAACAAAGATGCATTCCATTGCACCAATTTTAACCATGGGTTAATCTTGTCTGGTAGTGTCACATGCACAGCTAACCACGAATATTATTAAGGATCAGTAATAATAAATTTAGGTGGTCAGATAACGTGATCCAAGCTAATCTTTCCTGTTAAAATGGCAAGAAAAGGAATTTCTCTATGAAGTTGATAGTAGAAGTGGAAAACCAGAAAATGTTAGACAAGCATCCATTGCAAATTTGTATGCTCATGGGCTGTATTATGCCCCAGATCCACCATGGGTCACGAGATACTTGACTGTACACAAGGGGCCAATGAAGTTGCAAGGATTCAACTACATAAAGAAGAAAGAAATCTCTTCACTGTGATTCCCACAAGATGTTTATATTCAGACCACCACATCAGCAAAACCTTCTAATGGCCATAAATTTGAATCCACATGCAAAAGCCCACAGAGACATTTGGGCAACCAGTAGGATTATCTTTGACAAATCTTCTTTCCCTTTTTATAGTCTGTGGGTTTAGATTTGTAGATGGGGCTTTAGAAACCTTTTGCACAATACAGTGGTGATCAGCACCAGATGTGCAGAGAAATCAGTAAAAAGCAATATCTTAAAATGCTTTCAATATTATACCTTCGTTTGATGAGAAACAGCAAGCAAACAACACCAACAAAAATCTTTCTTTACATCCATTAAAAAGGGAAAATGCATTACAAGTAACAAAAAAGTGTTAAAGACAAAAAACTTTGCTTAGACCTTTTTTCCTTGTTACAAAATACTGACTCTTTCAAATTAAACTTTTTTTTTAAATGTTCTGTGGTTTTTTTTTTTTTAACTGACATGATCCTCTGAAGCAAAGTTATCTGCTTGCACGCCTTGGTGGGACCCGGGCCTTTTCAAGCAAATATTGCTTTATTTTATTTTAAGTTTCTAACAGAGCAAAAGCAGAGTCACTGCAGAAAGAAGCAATGAAACAAAGGAGGACGACGTTGATGGACTTCCCAAGGTCGCTGCAGGTGCCAGACAATGGTTCCCAGGAGGGGAAAATATGGTTGTTTAAAAACAAATTTGGTGCATGTGGCAAGCGTGGATGTTTCCCCGTGAGATCCAAGGTGACATGTATGACGACAGACATAGGAAAGGAGTAAGGGGAAGAAGGGAGAGGGGAGGGAAGAAAGGACGAGGAAGAAAAAGAAAGAAAGAGAGAAAAATAGATAAAAAAATTAGGTCATAAATATAGAAAACATAAGAATCAAAGGTTTATTTAATTTTGTAAATTAAAACGGCTAGAAGTTAAAGAAGAGCATTAGCACATTCACACTGACAAAAGGGCCGGTTCAGAAGCTCAGCAATGTCCAAAGCTGCAGAGCAGGGTTCAAGTCAGGGTTTATGGGGTTCGCAAGCAAATGAGATTAAAAATGATGGAACAGAAGGCTCAGTGAGAAACACAACAGAATGGTTATCTGGTATTTGAAAGGACCGCACTTCCTTTTACATATTAAAAAAAAAAAAAGCTTTTGCGTAGCAGACAATCCACCTGCCTGTCCAAGTCCTTCCCCCAAAGCCTGCTGTACCAAGGACTTGGATAATAGATCCATGTGACTAAAACCCTGTAGAAGCAAGAAGGTCTCAAGAATACCGGACTGACTTTTCCATTTAGCCTTCCAGCTGCTTGTAAACTACTCTAATGAAATGATTATTATTACTGAAAATAATACCCTTATCCTTCCAACCACATTAAGGACACTGTACAGATGATGGTAACAAAGGACTCTACATAATAAATATACATTTTGTCTGCATAAAATTCTTGGCTATTACTGTCAAGCAGAGCAATGCCATGTTAGAGGCATTGGCTCTGACTTCTCCAGTGCAGCTCACTTTGAAATAAAAATGTAAAAGCCAAATGCCATAAAAGCGACAAGAGATGCTAAAGGAAAGTAATACACAGAGCCTCTTCCCTACTGCAGTTTGGCATACTTTCCTTCGTTTCAATAGAGGCATGTGTACCGCAGATCACAAAAAAACTAGCCTGCTCTCTGGAAATATATTCCCCAACATTATTAGTTTGGGGATCAGCTCAGGGAACCAAAGGGTCTGGAAAAACCTTGGAAGGCCTAATGTAACCGAAGTCCTCCACAAAATGAAAAAAACCTTGAGAAACAGAGTCACAAATCCAGCGTAGCCAGCAGTAATCATTTCACTGCACATTGCTCTACTTGCCCCTGAATCAGAGCATGTTCTTTCTGAGAACCAACTGCATTCATCTGTTGGGTCAATTATGCAGCAAATTTGCACTCCAAAAATAACTACTTCTCAAACAGCTTCCAACATTTCCAAGTGCAATATTTGAGTGGCAGCCTCAAATCCCAATTCCTCCTATGCTTCACACCAGACTAAGCTAGGAATAATTTCAGAGACACCAAAGTTACACCTGTGATTACGTACTGGGTGCTCACCCCCCGCCCCTCCTTTTTTTAGAAGGTCCCTGCCCATGTTACTATTGAGTTTAAAGGGCTCGGTGGCATCTGGGCTCATTGCTCCTCCCATTGCCATGGACTACAGTATGAACACTCTGTATTTCAAAGACAACAGCATTCTCAAAATTTACTTATACACCTGTGCAAGACATCCCAGCTGTCCCAGGTAGTTTTGTTGTCCCATAGGGCATGTAACAAAGGCTAAAAGAGAATATCAGCACAGGAAGGCAACAACAGTTGCACACAAAGGAGTGTGGAGGAACAAAAAGATTGATCAGTACTTGTACCTTTCCCTGGGGAGGTACATCACAGTGCAAAGCAACCACTTTCTGCTGTTTCCAGCCTACCACATTTGACTGTTCAGATCTGAACTGACCTTAAGGCACTCTTTGCCAAATTACCCTCACTTTCTCCTGCCACATCAGTCACAGTTGTCCTTCAAATATGTGAGGGTAGTAAGTATTAGAGCTGTTGAAAATGAGAATCAGAGAGTAAGTTGCTTAATGAGTTACGGAGGGTCCTTCTACCCAAAACTACATCTTGTTCAAACATACATCCCAATCTCTCTTTTGGACCCATTTCCCTCCTCCTCCCTATCCTCATTCTCCCTACCATACACATTTTTCAAGCCTCAACCAACTAGGTCACTCATTTGTATGCTTAGTAACATTATCTGGCTTAATCAAGTGTTCCCAAGTTTCACCATGCAAGCTGCACAAGGTCTCAGCTGTTTCCTTCAGAAAGGAAAGCAGTGGGTGCAGTGGGGGCAGACCAAGGACTGAATTCTCAGTGCAAGGG